ATTAGATATTATAAAGAGATATAATTATAAAAAATAAATTTTAATTATATTATATATATATAAAACTAATTTGAATATAACAAATATACTATATATCAAATACTAATTAAATTCAAAGTATAATGAATTTGAGTTTAAAATTTATTTATAATAAAAATCTTGAATGTAGCAATTTATTAATAAACTCATGATATAATAAATTTTTAGTAAATTTTATTAATAGATCCAGATATCAAGATTCACTATGTAATTATAATTTTTAAATTGAATGAGTATAAAAATGTAACTATTGAAAGATATCATTATTTAGAGGATTGACTATATTTATTATATAAATTATTTATAACTAGAAAATTAAAATTATTTTAATGATTTCTTTTGAAAGACAAATAAATTAATTAACTATTATCTTTGATTTAATTAGTTATAAACTTGTTTAGAGAATTTGAGCTGGAATTAATAGATGAATTTTTTTGAATATATATATATATATATATTATATACATATATTGAAATTTTTATATTGTTTGTTAATATAAATATCTATCTTAAGAAATAAACTGATATTAAACAAGAAATATGCAACTCTATCATGTATGATCACGAATTGCTAGAAAAGAATTGGAATCTTACTATAAAATATAAACATCTACTGAAGTCAACATTGTAAATTGAAAGCAACAGGAAATAATAGCGAACTTATGAAAATTTTCATAATGATTATTTAATTTATAATGCTTACGAAGGAGTCATTACATGAAAGATAACTTCTAAATTCATCAATAGGTTAAGTTTCATAATTAATAAACTTCATGATTATAAAGTAAATCCAAAATTTTAATCAATGAATATTATTAAGGAAGGATTAAAATTTTGCAAACCTATTGGTATCTACTATTGAGTTTAGAAGTTATGCAGCATTTCTGGTGGAATTATAAATTTAGTGCATGATTTCTAAATTAGTGAGTGAATGATACTAATTTCGTCTTCAATAAATTTAATATTATTCTGTTATAGGAGGTTGTCAGGTTGTTGACGTTGAAATTTCATGGGTTTGTTGGTACCGTCGTCCCTCTCTATAGTTAAAGAACCGGGACCATAGTGAAATTTCATGGGTTTGTTGGTGCAGCGTATCTCTCTCTATAGTTACATAACTGGGATCATAGTGAAATTTCATGAGTTTGATGATTATAAAGGTTGTAAATATATGTTTTATTATAATGACTTAATATCAAAGAGTTTATAGACATCAATCAATAATGTGACTATAGCTACATTGTGGTTGTAACTATAAAGAGGTTCGATTGTGCTTATGTTTAGATGAAGAACAATATGAAAATTTGATTCTTATCACCACCATTCTTTGACTTAAACTTGCCTTGCATCAATAAAATCGTTCAATAAACGTATTTATTGTATATTCGTGTGCTTTTGTTATATATAAGGTATAATAAATTTGATATAACGAACTTTTTATAGCTGGCCGTCGTTATATAGGACGTTAACTGTACTATTTTACGAATGTGAATTTGATTCTAGGGGACGTACAGTTAAACCGAATATAACGCATCTTTTTATAACGAACACAAGCTATAATGAATTTATACTGAACTTTACACATTAAATTCGTTATAACGAACTTTTTAAACATTTTATTAATAAATGGTTTGAATATTCGAAAGAATACAATGTCTCAACGTTCAGATCGTTTACAATAAAGGTCTAAATTAAATCTTTATACATATAGAGGACTTTTGATTTCAATATACGTACACATAATAGAATGCTTTAAATTTTTTTTTTCAAGATGTTTAATTACATGGTGTCAAGAAATCTTTTTTAAAAAATACTACGTAGATGACGCCTCTGTCTGGTGGTGATATTAGCAACAAAGACACAAAACCAGTTCATCAAATTAATCGAATTTTCGATTGACTTGTAAGAAAAAGTTTAATAAAAAACAAGATTCTGGTTTTTTCGACCTGTCCAACCAACGAACCCATCCTTTGTGAACCGTAACGTAGAACCAATTAATTTCGATCGTTAACGCCAATCTAAACAGATGCATGCGGGTGATACAAAGAAACATTATTAAATAAGTGATAACGTAAATATACCCCTAGCCTTCCTGAAAAAATCTAATACTATCCATGCTCAAGCTCCCGTTGGTATTTGAGATTTTTTTTCTCCTTGATAATTTCGAACTTCTATAAGGGTTAGAATATAGAAGTGCGACAGACAGTGATTTCTTCTGTTTTCCTTAGTCTTATGTATGTAGCTGAAAACTTGTTGATTTGTATAGCAAAAGTTTACTTTTTTAATTTATTTACTCTAATTTGGAAAACTAAAGCCTTAAAATTATAATGAAAAATATTTGGTTTCTCTAAATTTGATTAAAAAGATTCGAATTCAAAAATAACAATATTGACCGAATTAAGTTGACAATAAAACGTGCGTGATTACTTTTATAATTAATGAAATTAATATATCGTATTTTTAATATTCTCAGGATCAAGGATCTCTACAATTAACGGGAAAAAATATGGTTAAAGTTATCCCAAATTAGTTAAAACAGTGTGCGTACTCACTTCATTCACATATTTTATAATGTAACTGAAAATCAAATCGTCTATTTTTATTGATATGATTGATTTATGCAATAGTAAATTTTTATTATTATACATGCTAAATCGAGTTCGTAATCTCTTAATTTCCGATAGGTAACAGCAAGAAAAAATAAATCGTTAAATTTACGAAGAACCAACTTTAATTATGTGTAATGTCGATACTCTCTTATTGTCAACTAATAAAATAAACAACGTATCTATTTAGACAAAAAGACAGACAGCAGACAAAATCAAATTCGTCTCATAGAAAATGACAATAACCTCGATAGGTAAGTCACGGAATATCGCTTCTTTCTCAAATAATAATTTGTTTCATAGAAAAATGACAATAACCTCGATAAGTAAGTCACGGAATATCGCGGAATTCTTTTCTAAAGTTACCTCGAATCTCACTTGACCCATCTTTACCGGAAATAGAACAATACTAAAGACATATTTGGAAACGGTTCAAGTCTGTGATGAAATTTTTTTAAGGCGCTTCGAGATTTTTTGTTCCGATACAAACTTAAAAAGGCTCATAATATGCTGACAATACGGCAAAAATTTGCTTTATCTTGCAGAAGCGACAAGTATATTAGCAGCGCGACGTCAGAGGGTCGAATTATTTGTCGATTTAAATAATCATATCGTACTTTTTTTTTTTATTAAATAATGAATTACAATAAAAATTCATATATAACATACAGGGTCCTATTATTAATTTTCAGACCGCTTAAATTTTATTACTAGAATCGTTTCAATTTAAAGAAATTGTAATTTATGTGATCTGAAAATCTTTTTAGCCAAAATTACTTCATACATGTACGATACGAATGTAAGATATCAATGGGAAATAAAATAACAAATAACTACGCATATACACAGCTAGAAAAACGAAGCCGATCAAAATTCATAACTCCAAAAATCACGATTTTTGTAAGTTTTTAAAAAAAAACAAACTCTTCCACTTTATACCAAATATTTTGATCCTTTATTACCTAAATGCAAATGTTTTGCAGTCGACTTTTTTGGTAAAGCACGTTACCTCAGATGATATATGATTCGCAGTTTGTTGAAGTAGGCGGACCTATCATTTATGCGTGCGTCTCATTCTCTCCTTTTAATATTGTCATCAATGCTACACAAAATTTCTAATTATATAATTTGCCCTGTCACATTTTTAATTAATGCGAATCGAATACATGTAACAATTGTAACAATGAAAAATGCTATGCAAAATTTTTAGAAATTAAAATGAGTTGCATCAATAAATTAAAATCGTCGTTACGTGTGTTTGTTTTTGTTTATTTCACCATTTTCGATTTTTTTCTTTGTTAAATTACTACAAAATGTGAAGTGATGATACACGTTATGATACACGTTTCTCGCACCAGCCCCAACCAAATCATACACAATTTGGCTGGTTAAATATAAATAAACCATAAAATTGCATTCTTTCGCCTCGTGCTCATGCAATATATGTACCTGAGAGCGAGAATTTCTGTATAATAAATGAGAATAACCCAAAAAATGCAAAAATCAAACCCGCGTGCTTTATATATTAGTGTTTTCTTGCCTTGTCATTAATTTTGGCGGAGCTGTATATGATCATTGATGCATTTAAGAAATATAAATTTTACTAAAAATTTGGATCAAACGTGCTTGAATAAAACATCAGGTGGTATCACCTTCTGAATAAAAAAGGATTAACTACCATACCATTAAATGCATTTCGTTTTCCCTCCAGTAATTTTGAAATATCTTTAGTAGTAGCTGAGGTGAGAAAGCGTAGCTAAATTGAAATTTAAACCGCCAGAAGTTTTGAACAAAGAAAAACTCGCGCCAAATTTTAATGAGCATCGGAAAAAATTTTGCTTAATAAACAGTTATCTCTATATCAGTTTACTATGAATTTAATAGTACACTAATAATATATATATATTAAAAAAAATATACATGCTTTTATATATTTATAGTTTGTACAGCTAAAATATATTGTGGAACCAAGTGAGAAATGAGAATATAAAAACGTAATTCTTTTTAATTTTGTGCCTGGGCACCAGAAGTAATAATCGACAAAAAATTAGTTAATAAAAAATAACGTTATGATCTTTTTTTAGCTTATAAACCCCAGCTTTCCCCCATAATAATTATTAACTTCCATCGAATGAACCATTGTGGTAAGAGAGAAAAATACTTTCTTTTATTGCAAATACCGGATACTCCATTAAATCAAGTTCAACGAGATCTATTTTATTTTTTTACTACAAAGAAATAACAATCACCGTAAAGAAAAATCTAAAAAACCATAAATAACACTCTATTAAGGAAAATTAAAAACGAAACACAAAATAAACATAGTTTAATTTGTTGCCGCTGTAAAATAAGAAAGATATGGCAGAATTAGGTCGCTATCCTCAGCAACAAGATATACAACAATATCGACAGACGCAATTGACTCTATTACCGCCATTATCCTTAGCATCGCTTCAACAGCAACCTACACAACAGCAAGCCACACTGCAGTCACAGCATTCATCCTCCCAATGGGTAATAATTGATGAATCAGCTAGCGTAGCTTCACCAAATTCACAAATTCGAACTAATGGTAATAATAATGTACTTCCTCAACCAATAATAAAAGTTCCATTCCCACCGCAAGTTAATCCTGAAGAATTAATTACGAAACAAAGAAAGGGAAAAATTCCCACAAAACCGCCAAATGCATTTATGATATATCGAATGAAATATGTCGAAGAATTGCATGCGAGAGGATATCGATTACCGATGCGAGATGTTTCCGCTTCTGTTGCGAGTAGTTGGAAAGATGAGCCAGAGATGATAGTTGCGCATTATGAAGAAATTGCAAGAGAAACAAGCAAAATTTATAATCGTAAATATCCTAAACCTCCAACACAACAACAGCAACAACAACGTCAGCAGAGCGGGTCCTCTGTCAAACAACAGCATCACCATACTCCCTATCGAACAAACTCACGTAAAACGAGCATCGAGAATGTAATCCGTTCTCCGTCGATCTATCCTTCGCTCGTTATCAATAATAATACTACTAATAACATAAACAACTCTAATACTAATAATAACAATGGCCTTGATAGTAATCTTTATCATCTACCACACCATCATCATCATAACACCTATCATCAAAATCAGCATCATCATCATTATCGACAAAATACTCAACCGTCCACATCCTCATCCCTTCTAATACTCCCCTTAGATCAAAGGACCAACACGACACAATCATCAAATCAATCTGGAGGTTTTCTACGTCAAATGACTTTACCACCAACCCCGCCTTCTATGAATACGAGCCCAGTAATAAATCCACATTATGGTTCTTTATTGGGACCTTCATCCTCGCTTCGATCTACCTCATCACTGCAAAATTATTCCCAGCAGCAAAATAACTTAATCCCGTCTAATTATCAAATGCGACTAAATGATCTTCCGCCATTGCATACTGGACAATATCAAAATTTTCTTAACGATAATTCCAATGCTCAAACAAATTGGGATTATTCTTCTACCACGCATTGATTAATTCGTGAATCGTTTTCTGTTTATAGTTGTCAATCGAAATATAAGTCATTTGTCGTTCTAATATCAAAAGTTAACTCCTCTTATTTACGTTCGATTTTATATCCGTTTTTTTGCAGCTTTAAAATATCCAGTGATTCTGTTGGTTCTGTTCTTTCGGTTAGCATAGATACCGTATCAATGGGTCATTGCAAATCGCGTTAGTAAATTATCATTCAAATATTCCAGCTAATAATCTAATCTATAAAATTACGTTTTAATTGTAAGATAGGATATAATTTCCCTTTGCAGCCTACAGACATCTAGTACTTTAATTTAATTACTACTACCATAACTATAATGCTAAAAATAAGATGATGAAAAATAAAGTTATAGCACATAAAATTGGGAGGGAATTTCATTGGTTCAATGACCACAATATTTGTTTTGATGAATTCGCTATTAAAAATTATGTTCTTTGTAGTATAATCCACGTTCTATCGGATCATCAATGCATTAATGTACGTGCGCTTTGTTATGCATGAGTCACGCGATAAGAAATTGCCACCACTTACTTAGTGTTTTGGTAGTATTGCTGACTTAGCTGTGACTCAATAATGAAAGAAACTCAAAATAATTTGGTAAAAAAAATGACGCGGAACTATATATGCAAATTTCCGTTTCGCCTACCAAACGTCACACCACCAGTCTATGGATTATTAATTAAGACTATATTTAGTAGCATTATGTAACCTTGAAAAACTAGTTAGCTGATAGAATAAAATACAAACAAAAATTCGTTCATAGGCGTGGACGTAACAAGTTCTTATTATTGGTCATTTTCGGACTAATCAATAAGTGTTATTTAATCACTCCGCATTGTTTATGTTTTCGTGTTTTGAATTCCCTATCCACTCTGAACCTCTTTCATTAGCATAAGCGATTAACTCTTGTGACTTCATGCTCAAGTCTATTCTCTGGTCTTAAATGCAAGGTCAATTTAGTTTGAAGCTTCAAATAGTTCATAGTCTATTATTTTATCATATTTCATATTCATTGCATAAGTATCTCTGGCAATAAAGAACTTTCATATCATATATCCAAGTGTAACTGTATAGTTTACAATTATGCAAAATATATTGGATAAGGTAGAATTTTTAGGTGCTGTCTGTATTTTTCAGCTCAATTAATAACATCCTTTCTATTATATCTTTCAATTAATAACACCCTTTCCCTTATATCTTCCATATGAATTATTTTCAGAATTATAGAATATAAAACATTTATTGTTATATGATAAAGTGTAATGATTTTTAGGTAATTATATGAGTTTATCATTTATAATAAAACTCAAAATTTCTAGATTAGCATAATACTCTATTAAAATCAATATAACTTTATTTGACGTATATTTCGATTCTATTATTTATTTGTATTTAGTAAACAAATAAACAAATATAATTTATTTTGCTATACTTCAATAAAATTGTGTCAATCAGAAAGGTAATATCAAAAGATAAAGGAAAATCATTAAATAATAGAGTCAATGAAATTAATTAGGAAGTATTCCAGGAGGAAGAGATGATAAGATCTCAGGTATTAAAATGTATTATATATCCTGATTATTATTTATAACTTTTCTTGGACCGAATCCATAAACGACATCACTATTCAATTTATCAAGAAATAGATATTTTTTTTGAATTTGGTTTGAGAAATCAATCATGCTTTACAGAATAGGTTTGTCTTTTTGTTTGTTTTAGTTTGCTATTTAAAAAATTGTATTTCAAGATACTAAAGTTTGATAACTAGGCCAACTTGACACAATCTATCGCAGTTCTTTCATATTTCACTATTTTGATCGAAATTCAATAAAACACACTAAAGTTAGAATTATTAATCTAAGCAGACGATAGATGAAATTTTGTTAAATACGCTATGCGTCAGTATTTACCGTGTAAGTCATCCCAAACCGTACTGTGCCCCTCTATATACATATCATATACGATCTTCTATATATTTTTACGATTCAAGACGGAATGTAGCGTATCCGGGGAATATTTGTCTCGGTAAATTACGGCATTCATGACAATGTGATGTGATGAGGCATTAAAGTATTATTCAAGATGTAATACATCAATCGGATATTTGCATGCATACGTAATTGTATCCATGTTAACGTGGAATCCCGGTTCTTTTTCGCTGTGCTAGCGGTAACTTTTCAGCCATTAAATTTTTTTTAAGCATAATTTAGTAATCAATGGGAGTAAAAAAAATATTTTCTTTCTATATTCAATATATGAAATGCAGGCATTGAACTTATTTCCTCCAAGTTTGATTTGATTCTCATTCATGATTGGCACTCTAGATTAACCAATAAGAAAACACAAATTTTTTGATTGATCAATAATTTTTTAACTTCGTTCTTGATTCATTTGCTTTTGTCGATTCCGGAAATTCTACTGTAATCGATTTTAAGAAGTATTTCAAACTAGGTCTAAGCATCCGTTTTCTGTATATCGGATTTGTTTTGCCGATTGATCAAAATTTATGCGTATTCTTATTGGCTATTAAATGATAACTAATAGGAAACCCGGTTAAATTATTGTCGAGAAGTGATATTGATATAGGTTATACCGCGGCATGGGTGGTGAAAGAACCGGGTCTTTAATCATGGGGATGATGTATACATGGTAACAGAAACTTGAAATTATTTATTATGCTGAATCAGCACGTGAAAATTTATCAAGAACCTTTATATCATAGTTATGTCATATTTAGGGTAAATTCTATCGATTATTTAAAGAAAAATTTATTCAAAGTTTACTAACATTACCAACATTATGGATAATCAACAACGTGGCGATTTTCAAATGCGGCAGCAACATAGAAACCGTTTATTACGTTTTCAAATATTCGGAGTAAATGTTTCCGAGTTGCAGCAAATATTTGTATGGATATTTGCACTGCTCACCTATACGCCATTATCTTTATGGTTAGCTTTTGCATTTTTAATTGGTGGTTTGGCCACTTGTATACCAGCAATGCTTTGCATGATCGGGTTGTTGATGTGTGCAACTGCTAGTGTCGGGATCTCAGTATTTCTTGGTAAATAACATAACATAACGGAACAATCTTTCGATTGAGTAGGAGGTTACTTGTATAATAATGGTTTAATTTTATGAAACAATAGTTTTTATCGGAATGATATTATTTCTCCCACTGACCATCGTGGCACTCATTGTATCATTTTGGATTGTGTTGCTATATTCTGGATACAAAATATTAGCTACTAATTTTTCAAAACACACATCATAATATCATCAAGCCAGCACAAATACATGTATATGATGGATGTTATTGTAATTATCCATAAATATGGGCAAACTGTTATTAGAACCTTTATTTAAATGGAGCTTCTTATTATCTTTTGGAAGCTTTATTGTCAAATGATCATTTTGAATGACAATTCATAGAACTCGTTATTGTTGATGGCAATGATGGAGATACTGATTTTTCGGATTAGTGCGAAGGTAACATTTGGCGAGACATTTCTAAAAAAACAGTATAAAGAGAGGTAACGATATCAAACCTGATTATGCACGTTGAGATATCTGGCATACGTAGTATTAAAAAGCCAGATAATCTATCAATACTATCATAGATAACAAAGAAAATCCTGTGAAACGAGTTTTACAGCCTCGTCATTTTTTATTTTGATTGTGTCAATCGTGTTCTTCGGTACGCCATAAACAATATTCCAAGAATTTAGTTTGGAAAGAAATAAAACACGTTCTTTATCGTAACTGCTTTTGAGCTATGGATAATCAGATCTCGCTGTCCAGTGGCGCTCAAAAGTAATGCATCAGGAACGTTTTGCGAAGAAAAATTCTAGCGCCTCTAACATTTGACCTAATGTCCTACACTCATTTTAAAAAATATATAAAAATATTATTATTGCCATTTTAGTTTAATTAGTGTAATCAATTTTTTTTTGCTAAGGCAAATGCTGGAAAAATTATAGTAATAAAAATGTTTACCTTTATGAAATCTAACTGTATACCAATTTTCAGCCAAATTGGAGTTAACTATTGAGAGATACAAGCTTCCGAATGTTAAAATTCAATTAAAATTAATTAATTTTCTTTATTTATGTGTAATATCAACTTTCAGAGGTTCATAACTGCTGAAAATTAATATATAGGTAAATTTCATAAAGGAAACCATTTTTTATTGCTAGAATTTTTCCGGCATTTGCCTTGGCAAAAAATTTATCATCAAAGCTTCACTAATTAAGAAAAACGTCTAGATCACTTAGTTTTCCTAAAATGGCAATAATAATATTTTTATATATTTTTTAAAATGAGTGTAGGGCATTAGGTCAAATGTTAGAGTCGCTAGAATTTTTCTTCGCAAAACTTTCGTGATGCATTACTTTGAGCGTCGCTGTATATACTCGCGGTGACAATTTGCGTTTTTATCACAATGCCCATCCATTTCTTTTAACAATACAGATATTTTGTTCCTCAAAGTTTTGATTCATAGAAATAATAAAAGCATATTAGAATACAAACCATGGGTTTAGCAGGCAACTTGCTTTAATATTTTGTTGCGTAAATTAACCATTTACTTTGGTAAATATACGCGTAATTTAAACAGATAAGAGCCAAGGTATGGTATTTCCTTTCGGAATCTCGCTTGATCAATTTGTTTCGACTCATTAGTAAAGAATTCTTTTAATATGTTAATAATAAACTTTTCGAGTTTCTACTGGTTTTTGAAATTTTTCGGTTGATATCGGGTCAGGAATTGTTGAATCAAGACACATAGTTTTTACATAGACAGCATTTGAAAATTCGGCAGACAATAATTTCGACTTTTTTTTGGCTATTGTAAAAGTTGAAAGTTTAAAAAAGCAAGTATATTTTTAGCTCATGAGGTAATTTTCACTAATAAGATAACGTCATAAATTATTAGATACCAACATTTTTGAAAAACTCTATCGAATATGTCATCTACTAAATAAGGAAATTTGTTCTCAAGTATGAGAATAGATAATTAGTGATATCCTCTCGTTTTCTGTATATACCCTTCAAATTTCTCGGTAGCAATTAATGATTTATAAATCAGATATCAGGGTGCCTGCCCAACATCCCAACACCCATCTTCCCGACAATCCAGCATCCCGACAATCTAACTTCCCGGCAACCTAACATCTCGACAATATAATTTCTCAAAATTTAAACCCAACTCTTCCCAACTTTCCGAAAAGCTAGGTTAATTTCTGGTTTATGTCTGGAAATTAGGTTTGGCGGGAAGTTGGGTATGTCGGGATATTAGGTTGTCGGGATTAGATTGTCGGGAAGTTGGATTGTCTGGAAGATGGATTGTTGGGATGTTAGACTTTCGGGAAGTTGGGATATCGGGAAGATGGGTGTCGGGATGTTGAGGTAGACCTAATTATCAGAAATACAACAATAAAAAATTGCTAAGCCTATAGCATATTGTCCAAATGCACGTTCTTGCAACACATTTTGATATTAGTAAACATGATACGCATGATTGACAAAAAACAGACGTGATATTTTCTTTTGAATCTTACCATAAATCTGCTTCGACTCATCTATAACAAACTTTTTTTGATTGCGTCAAATGATGCATTTCTTGAGCTTCTGATTTTCGTAGCTTTTTCATATATTAAGCTGGCTCTTCGGAATTTTCCGTAGTCAGTGATATTGAAAAAGATAAATCTTTTGTTTATTTTCATTTATTAGTAATTAAGTTAAAATGAGCAATCAATCTTATAATCATGGGTTCAGAAGTACCAATAATTACATATTAATGCTACATTGCATAGCTTAGTGCTAGCCAATCAAATGATTCGTTTCATGTTGAGCGTCAATTTTTTAATCAGAAAAAAATTCCTCTAACAAAAATCAATCTGTAAAAGGATTTTTTATACATCACTTGTTGCTAAGTTATAAACTTTTTGCATAAATTAGCTTAAAAGTGGCTATTTTTATTGTCCGGCGCTATACAAAATAATTTGGTAAAAGAAAAAGCATAAATCACTTAAACAATTATATGCATCGATTATTAGCAAGAATTTATGGATTTTTTAAAATCTAATATTTAGGTTATTAAGGAGAAAGCCTTATCATTTCATGCAATTAACGAAATTAACTAGTAATATTTTCGTACGTGTTTTCGCAAAATAACGTTTATGGATCACTAAGGCCGAAATTCGAAATTTCACCCCTGTGCGTTATTTCGCGAAAATACGGTAAATACTTTCATATAGTATCACTATGCACTTCAAGGCTAGATATAAAGGATATTATTTCGTGTTCAAGAACAATCTCATTATAATAACAACAATAATAATAGTAGTCTTTCAAGATATGGATTTTTCCCTTCATCAAGGGGGTCTTAATGCACACCCAAGTTTATAAGACTTTTATAAATTTACTCTTTAGCTGCACATTTTGTCAAATTAGTTTCTACGGTCCCAAGAGTTGGCCATTTATGGAGAGTTGACTGTATCAAGATTTTCCATCCATTATATCGAAATTCATTATATTGTGTAGTTTGGTCATTAATCATGAGGGTTTGTTTGAAAAACTAATGAAGAAGGATTTTTTCAGGTTCTAGAAAAATATACGTATTGTGCCTCAAGGAACAAGTTTATTTAACACGCAGCAATCATTTTCTTATCAAAATAGGTCCCAGTGAATCGCCAAATTTTGGAATCAAACTAATAATTGTCGTAAAATAAATTCTAATTCTAGTATTATTATGGATCAAGAAGATCCAGATATTGAGAGAAAGCTTAAAGTTTATTTAGAACAAACCATTTACCCGATCGTAATCTTCAAGCAATATTGTTGAATCCATCTTTGCCTTTGCATATAACTGATCTTGGTTTTTGATCAATACACAAACGATTCAAGACATCGATGTTGATCCACTCGCGATCATCCAGAACCGAAAAAACAGTATGCGCGAAAATTGATTTACCAATTGGCAGATAAAAACGAAATGTATGCACAATTTCTTTTGGTGATTTCATATCGTTATATGCGTTGGCATGTTCGTGATAATGAACGGACGTTCCAATTGTATTGAAAATCAGTGATAACTTTGTAGCGTATCATCATCTGGGAACTTGTTACCAATATTTAATTGGATGTAAGAGAGATATGATTAAAGCACACAAATGCTATTTGAAATTCGGAGATGGATCTCAAGACGGGTTGATGTTATGTTATTTAAAGGGAAGGGTACTCAGAAAGATATTTATGCAGCATTAAAATGTTGTGTGGAGTTATTTAATGCTGGAAGGCCAAATGTCGAATCCCGATTATACAACTGCTTTTATGAGTATGATGATTGAACCTTCAGATTCTTAACCATTTCATAAATCCTTTTTTTAATATATTAAATTAATGCAATTCGAATGCGTCACCAAAAGTTGTTAGTAAAGCAAATGATGAAATAGAATTTAATATACACAATATAATCTTATTACTATGGTGCGAACGGCCTAAAGCCATCAAGTACTTTGAACTGCAAAGGCTCTACATATAAACATGTAATCACAAAAATAAATGCATTGCTAGATAGCCTTGGATAAGGTCTATAAAGCAATGCATTTTTTTTTATAAAATATATTAGTAGTTTATTGAGTAGTTAGAATTTTTCTTCAGTCACTTCTAATAGAATCTAAGATGAAATTAAAGAAATTTTCAGTGCTGGAGATTTTTTCCTGGTTGGTCAGATCTTGCATGATATCATGTAAATAAAATGATTGATTTTTATAATGTAACAAACAAGAAGAAATATGCTTAATGATATCATTGATTTATTTAAAAATCATTGACCATTTTTTATTTAAAGAGGAGGAAGAGAAGAAGTGATATTTGCTCACTAAATTTCTCAAACTTTTCCTTGCTAAACCAATCAAATAGCCAACTAGCTCAATTACTTCATATGATTAAACTCTTTCAAAATACTATCAGAAACTGTAAGATTATTTTGTTAATGGTTGTAAACAAGATAAAAACAGTTTTTAATTTTATAACTTATGATTGTTTTTATTATTTAAAAATATTCAGATCTGGAGTTAAAATTACAGAACAGA